GATTGAGTGACCACGTCACCCAATCCACCAGGCTACCGTAGTATCACTTGCATCACTTTTTCCAATATTCAAATAAAATTAATCTAATTTGTCATATTCTTCTTGACATAATTTATTTGGGAGAGGCAAATATTTCGAGATTTTTTTTCGAAATATTCATTTTCTTATAGGTATGTATCTCTCCTCGTGTCTTCAGACACGTTTTGATCTCTATTAGAGTATTGGTACATGGGATGTTTCCTCCCAGCTTAGAGCTTTGTTAACGAGATGGAGCTATTACTGGTTAACAATAATAATAATAATAATGATAAACTATTTTCCATCCGGTGCCGGCTGTGGGTCCACAGGGCTATCCACCCGGTGGACCCAACACCCAACACTCGGTTTCTAGTAATCGAGGAAGGGGCCACCACAATCGACCTGCTCGGAGGGGTCAGAGACAAGGTGGTGGGGTCCATAACAGTGATTTGCCTACCGATGACAATCCTGACAATGACAACGGATGCTTTGAGAGGACGCATGAGCTAAGAGATAGCCTTATGCATTGCTGCGAGAGTAGTGAGCCCCCGCGAAGAGAGTACATGGCAAGGTTGCATGCTATGTGGTGGGAAACACATCCGGAGCATGCTGCCTTTTCTACCCAAAATCTTAGGGATTACGTATCGTATCTTCGGCCGCAGGACTAGATAGCTCCTTCCCAGCCTGCTAACGAAGTGGAAAAAGTGACAGTACTGCCACCCGTTGGCACGGCTGAAGAGGAGACTCGCATCATGCCACCAACGGAGTCAATCAGAACACGCAGGGCGCTCCACAGAATAATACTCCTGAAGCCACAAGAACTGGATACCAAGAACTGGTTTTTTCGGATGCGAAGGTTCATAGTGTTCTAACAGAAGAAGCTGACATCTGGCAAATCAACATCGCCGTGTAAATCGTCGTCCAATCGCTTTTCAAATAAGAGAGACGAAATCTCTGCCTTGCGGTTCGGAAGATGGAACGGCGTGTACTCAAGATGGAGGCTAAGATCACGTCGGCGAGACAACACACGTGTCGTATCCAATGTGTGATGGATTACAGGGCAGCCAACAGGCCTTTCACGCCCGCAGTGCGGCGAATAGCAGCCAAACTACGACCTATCCATCACACTTTAAGTCAAGGCGTGCTGCTACGAATGCTGGTGGCTGTTAAGAAGTCACTAGTGAGGCGAACGAGAAGTATCACGGAAAACATTGGGTTTCGCGAGAAATCTTCTCGCTTATTCCAAGAGCCTTCATGTGTTGTGGATTATTCGCCGACCGCTGATCAGGTGGAACCCTTCTGGAAGGATATCTATAAACACCCATGCCACTCAACACTCCAGCCCTAGCGCAGTTCAAAGCTTTCAACAAAAAGGTTTGACTGCCTGAGCTCAATGAACTGTGCAACCCGATAACCTCGAACGGAGAGCAGCCGATTCTGGATTGGTTTGTCTAGGGGCGGACCGTTCTCATCCCCAAAAGCGGAGATTTGTCGATTCCTAAGAATTACAGACAAATAACATGCTTGAATTCGTGTTATGAGTTGTTCACAATCATCTATGGCCAGTCAGAAATCCTATTGTTGAGCGTAGATTTTTCCAGCTTCCCAGGGTCGCCCAAAGTGATCCTGGCAAGATTGCATACATTGATTCCATCCCATCTCTTTAGGGATTGTGTATGGGTGTAACATTTGGCTAGTTCGGCAATTGTCGGAGTCATCAAGCCGTAGGTGCCACTGAGTCCTAAAATTCTTAGTATCGCCACCAACATAATCTTCGGTTTCATAATGAAAAATAGCAAGGATCTCGAGAATTTAATATAGATAATAAAGATAAAGATAAAATAAGAGTATGGCATTTTTCCAGAGTATTCTATGTGTGCGACTCTATCAGATTCTATAGAAAGATTTCAGCAAACATTTTTTAAATTTATTTTGCATGACATTTATTCATAGATTCTATATCTTGACTCGCATCGACTGTGGAAGCATCAAAATGTTTGGTACGGAACTAGATCGAGAAGTAGATTTTACGAGAAATATAAAAAGTACTCGGATAATATACCCGGGAACACACGGAAAAAACTTAATAAAAATCCTCGGAAAGTTTTTTTATGAGAAGAAGAGAGAAGAAGAGAACCGAAGAACAGATTCAAAGGAGCAAAGACCTCAGAATGATTACAGGGCTACTCACTGGACACTGTACATCAAGAGGACACACCTCAGCAACTTTTGATGCTTTATAAAGCTCAGATCAAGCCTTCTTTGGAGTATTGTTGCTGAAGTTGCTGGATTCCATCCAGAAAAGAGCCATCCGCCTGATTTGAGACGCGAACATCACGTTCAGCCTTGATAGTCTGGAACATCGAAGAAATGTTGGAGATTTGTCTCTCTTCTATGAATATTTTCACGGGAGGTGTTCAAGTGACTTGGCACATTTGATTCCACCAAGAGCGGGTACATATCAGAAATACACGACGAACTGTGGCTGCTCATCGTTTTGAGGTTCAACTCAGTACACCTCGAACTTCACTGTTCAAGAATTCTTTCATTTGGATAACTGCGTTTATGTCAAATAAACTTCCTGANCTGGGCACGATTTTACACAAAAACAATAAATATTCAGAGGAAATGGCCTTCTTGAAAAAATTATGTATGTTCAACTTCAAAAAGTAGTGATAAAAAATGACTCTCCGGAATTTTTTGAATGCCACTAACCGCGTGATTTGACCGACGTAGTGTTTGCTTTTGAAATAAACTACATTTTATTATTATTATCGCAAAAATCATTCTAATAAAATAAAAAATGTTTAGATAAATTTTGTCAAAAAAATAAATCTTGAATCACCGAAAATTTCAAATCAAATGACTTCTCAGATAATTGATACAAATAAAAATATTTGGTTGAATTAGAAATCGTTGCCTAAAAAAAGCTTTCTCTGGATAATTATGAAAAATTCCATTATTTTCAGCCAGTCATCGAGCAAAACCATGTATTTCGCTGACTTCCACACCTAATAAATTCTAAACAAATGAACAACACCGACACGTGATGGTCACGCGTTCCACACCCTCATCGTGTGGTAACGCCGAAAGAGCATTTCGCAGAGTGAATCATACAAGCACTGCATCCAAAAATACAACGCATTATGCATTTGTTTACAAGGATCCACCGTATTTACCGAGTTAATAGAAACATGTCACCTCGTTAAAAATAATAATTGTTTGTCTTGTCGGACTCCAATTAGAAATGGAGAGTTGCTAAATGGGGACATAACGTGAGATAAACAAATATACCGGGTTGCATTATATCTGAATATTTTTATACATGCAGTGAGGGCAAAAGGTAATTTTTAACACGGTAATTAATTCGCCAATTTTGGGCCGATATCACATCTTATTGAACCTTTCTTCCCAACAGCAACTGAACTGATAGCCATGACTCTCAGGGTCTAATTAGGCATCCTTCTCACGATTTCAATCACTGTCACTGTTCTAATCGAATTGAATCAAGGGAATCTAATATTTTGAAATGATTGTGATTGGACTTTGAAATTTTGCATAAATGCTTCTACAGAAATGTACATGCTCAATTTGATATTATGATTATGACTGACCCGGATTATGACCCTAACTCTACTTGGACATCTCAAATGGATATGTAGATCGAATAAAACTCGCATATACAACTCAAAGATACAAGATAACGACATGAAAAACTAATTGCTATAATTCACTTCACGTATCTTTACGAAAAAAAGACAACAATCCTTAAATTGAAACTCCACCTTGACTACCAACAGTTGACGTGGACTGTTCAAAAAATAATGTGAATGTTCAAATTTCGCAGGCAAGGTACATTTGATTAACAATTTTTTAATTTTTTACATTGGTACATTGTTCGAACATGTTCGCATTTTCAGCTGTTTAGCATGTTTAGTTTGTTGGTGAGAGGCATAACAGTTAGAAATGTTTTGGCTGTTCGGCGATTTTCTCGTATCGAAAAAAATTATTCAAAACATTTGCATCAAATTCTGGGTAAAAAATGGATATAAGTGCTCATTTGAAATGTCAACAGTGGCATGCAGTGATTATACTCTGAGTCAGAAAAATGGCTGAGAAGATGTGAATGACGACGCTCGCCCTAGACGTCCCAGCACATCAACAACCAATAAAAATGTTGAGAAAGTGAAGAAAATTGTTATGGAGAATGGTGAAATCACTATTGGAGAAGTTGCTGAGAATGTTGTCGGCATATCGGTTGGCTCATGCCATGCAATTTTTTCGAAAATTTTGGTTATGAAGCGTATGGCAGCGAAGTTCATTCCAAACTGATGACGAATCATTAGTGTATGATCATGACATCGAAACCAAAGTCCAATCGTCCCAATGGAAAAGCCAAGACTAAAAAAAGCACGCCCAGTTCGATCAAATATCAATATTTTACTCACTTGTTTTTCGATTACCGTAGCGTAGTGCATCAGAAGGTCTTGCCACATGGTCGCACGGTCAATAAGGAGTATCATCTTGAAGTTATGCGCCGTTTGCGAGAATCAATACGAAGAAAATATCCGGTATTACGGAAAAACAATTCATGGCTTTAGCCATGGGTTTGAAAGCCGTGGATTTTTGGAATTTCTTTCTGACGTTTCGCTGGCGCGAGTGGCTAGCTTGTTCAGAGGTTTAACCATCATGGCTTGCTGTCCGATGACTAACTTTTAGGCTTCGTAAAGCGTATTTATGCCTTGTCAGGTTATCAGTTGTATTTGTACCTCTACTGGTCCGTGCACTTGTACCTGTACTTGACAAAAAACCGAGAGCTAAAATCTAATTTTTTTCCCCTGTATGATATACAATTTTTTTCTGTGACAGGAAAAACGACGATTTAATATTGAAAAATGTAATTTCTACCTTTACTTATATATNTTCCAAAAATTTAAATCAGCACATGGTAAGACGCCGCCTCCGCTACCCAGGGCGTCGTGACGTCGACTACGCGTTGGACGCCGAAGACGGCGCGCGGTGCCCACCAGGCTGACAGTCAGTGCCGAACAGCGTCAGTCGTTGATTTCGACTCGATAAAACTCCACTTAGGTCAGTACCAGTACTTCAAGTGTATTTGGTGTAGTTTAGTTTTTGCATTTTCCCGAGCGTAAGTATAGTTGCATCAAAAAAGTGTGGAAATCCGAAAAATTTTGGAAATCACGGCTAGTTTATGAGTTTTTTACGTAACCGTAGCTTCTGGCTATTTTTATATTTCACGAAACGGAAATTCTACACCGATATTTATATATGGGATGGCTCAGAAAGTGTGTTACCGTTCAGAAAAGTCTATTTTTCTGTGGAATAATTGTATTTTCTTTGCGATAAAGGTGTAGGCGCCACCCTCTATGTCCGGTACAAACTAGTGATCTGGTAAAGTTCTCAATAGTGAATAAATTGTCATCTATCTAATTATCCATTAACTTCACGTATTACAAACTCACAAGCTGAAATTGAGAAATTCGGAAATTATTATATTTCCCAAAATAAAAATACATTATTCCAGGGTACTAGACTGAAATATAATAGAAGGGCGAGAGAGATAGCTTTTATACTGTGTTACATTACTTGTAAATGTAAATCTCATTATCAATAATTTTTTCAAGGCATCAGCGTCACTAATGACAATAACTATGGTTTCAAGAAATATACTTTTACTGTCATTCAATTGGCAACTAGGTCCATGAGTTGTTTTTCATAACCTTCAGTTGATTATTTGGACATTAGGTAATAAAGGTCAATGAGAACAAAATAGAAAGCTCATCAGTGTAGGAAAGATCCGATCCAAACAGCAAAGTGTCTGGGATTTGATTATTTTAACGTGGCTCGACTGCATGTATGAAACCTTCGTCTGAGAAAAATATTGTTGACTAGTAACAGCTCCATCTCATGAACAAAGCTACAAGCAGGGAATAAACATCCTTGTACTAATACTCTAACAGAGATCAAATCGTGTCTGAAATACCGTAGGTTCTGGCAAATGCCTGCCGGAAAACGTTCTATCCCACAAACTAATAATCAGACAGCTGTGATATTTGTACACGTGTCTATTGAAGGATTGGGTCAACTAAATTTCATATGGATTTAATATTAGCAGCACCATCTGTGTGTTAGCCTACGAAATTTTCAGCCCACCTAATATTTACAGAAATAAAAACCTAATTAATACAGTTTATTGTGAAATCTTCACTTTGAAGGGTTTTGCAAAGACCGCGACACGTGTTTCGCTATATAATAGCTTCCTCAAGCGGAAATTAAAAGTTACTTCTAAATTACAACTATTTTACACTCTAACATATTACCTACTTGTATGCCTACTTTCTAATGAATTAATCTACCTGAAAAGGTCAGGTATGAATTCATGAACTATATGAATAAATTTTTCAAAAGTACCGTAAATATACCTAACTATTTTAACCTGTAAATAAACAGATTCAATAATGACGAATTATTCAATTCAGTTTAATCGTTCATAAGATATTGAAAGTGTTCGAATTTGTTTATTTCTATTGTAACGAATTAAAGAATTTACTGTCTTAAACAAATTTGTTTCTAACAATATTTCACTATCGCAAACTAATTTATTTACAACACTTAGCACTTTATTTATTTCCACTGTTTGAATTCCTTGTTTTCCGCTCGATTCGCTTTCTGAATTCATACTTCCATTTCTGAACAGGGAGTCGGCTTTTTATATCGGTAACGATCGTTCTAGATTTCTCTGGTGGTCTCTGTTCTCGCCTAGTATTTTCTCGGCGAGTCAGACCGCATTCTTTCGCGGTGATGTGATGTGTTACAATAGGACCTCACTGTATATTCCTTATGCATTGTCGATTACCATTATCACTACTATTATCTCTGTGATACTTTTTGCCAATTGTATTCAGCGAGTCTTTGTAGAGCGCTCGTTACTGTAACTTTTCATCGTTCGCAAAATCCAGGATTCCAAAATAGATATAAGTAATTTCTTTGTTTGTTATTCCAATTACTTGAGGCGAATAGAAATATATGGATAAAAGTGGAGATGGTCATAGAACAAAGCAGGTTTCAATTTCAGTTCAGAATAGAGAGGCCACCAATACAAAAATCCAGCCAATAACAATCAGGTCAAATATATTTATAAATGTCTTGCTTGCGCAATTCTCGTTTCAGTTGTTGTTTTTTCAGATACATAAAGTTTTGTTTATTCCGAACCGTTTTTCATTTTCTTATAGGTATGTATCTCTCCTCGTGTCTTCAGACACGTTTTGATCTCTATTAGAGTATTGGTACATGGGATGTTTCCTCCCAGCTTAGAGCTTTGTTAACGAGATGGAGCTATTACTGGTTAACAATAATAATAATAATAATGATAAACTATTTTCCATCCGGTGCCGGCTGTGGGTCCACAGGGCTATCCACCCGGTGGACCCAACACCCAACACTCGGTTTCTAGTAATCGAGGAAGGGGCCACCACAATCGACCTGCTCGGAGGGGTCAGAGACAAGGTGGTGGGGTCCATAACAGTGATTTGCCTACCGATGACAATCCTGACAATGACAACGGATGCTTTGAGAGGACGCATGAGCTAAGAGATAGCCTTATGCATTGCTGCGAGAGTAGTGAGCCCCCGCGAAGAGAGTACATGGCAAGGTTGCATGCTATGTGGTGGGAAACACATCCGGAGCATGCTGCCTTTTCTACCCAAAATCTTAGGGATTACGTATCGTATCTTCGGCCGCAGGACTAGATAGCTCCTTCCCAGCCTGCTAACGAAGTGGAAAAAGTGACAGTACTGCCACCCGTTGGCACGGCTGAAGAGGAGACTCGCATCATGCCACCAACGGAGTCAATCAGAACACGCAGGGCGCTCCACAGAATAATACTCCTGAAGCCACAAGAACTGGATACCAAGAACTGGCTTTTTCGGATGCGAAGGTTCATAGTGTTCTAACAGAAGAAGCTGACATCTAGCAAATCAACACCGACGTGTAAATCGTCGTCCAATCGCTTTCCAAATGAGAGAGACAAAATCTCGGCCTTGCGGTTCGGAAGATGGAACGGCGTGTACTCAAGATGGAGGCTAAGATCACGTCAGCGAGACAACACGCGTCTCGTATCCAATGTGTGATGGATTACAGGGCAGCCAACAGGCCTTTCACGCCCGCATAGCGGCGAATAGTCACCAAATTACGACCTATCCATCACACTTTAAGTCAAGGCGTGCTGCTACGAATGCTGGTGGCTGCTAAGAAGTCACTAGTGAGGCGAACGAGAAGTATCACGGAAAACATTGGGTTTCGCGAGAAATCTTCTCGCTTATTCCAAGAGCCTTCACGTGTTGTGGATTATTCGCCGACCGCTGATCAGGTGGAACCCTTCTGGAAGGATATCTATAAACACCCGCGCCACTCAACCTAGACACTCCAGCCCTAGCGCAGTTCAAAGCTTTCAACAATAAGCTTTGACTGCCTGAGCTCAATGAACTGCGCAACCCGATAACCTCGAACGGAGAGCAGCCGATTCTGGATTGGTTTGTCTAGGGGCGGAACGTTCTCATCCCCAAAAGCGGAGATTTGTCGATTCCTAAGAATTACAGACAAATAACATGCTTGAATTCGTGTTATGAGTTGTTCACAATCATCTTATACACACGAATACTCACCGCAGTTGACCGAGTGTTCGAAAGGATATGTGACCAGAGAGGTTCGAAGAGAGGAGTCGCTGGATGTAAAGAGAACCTGCTCATCGATAGATGTGTAACGCAGGACACGATACAATATAAGCGTAACCTCTCTATGGCCTGGATTACCGTAAGGCATTTGATACAATATCGCATGAACTCATCTTACATTTGCTCAGAGGACTTGCGGTACCCGACAAAATAGTGAGATGCATTGAACAACTGATACCACTCTGGCGAACTCGCTTCACCATAACATCTGGTCAAGCCAGAGTCCAAACATGGTGGATCACTTTCGGAAGGGGTGTATTTCAGGGCGATTCCCTCAGTCCCCTCCTTTTGTTCATCTCACTATTGCCATTGTCCGTTGCGCTCAAAAATACTCGAAGGTATAACTGTGCCCCCTCCCCCCCCCGGGGAAACCCGGAGACACCCATGTGTTTCATATGGATGATCTTGAACTTGAACTTGAACTGTATGCCTCTGGAGAGAAGGATCTCCATCAGTCATTGAAGGTGGTGGAAGAGTACACGAATGCTATCGGTATGAAATTCGGGATAGACGAATATGCAATGGTCCATCTCAAAAGAGGACGATGCGGATACTACGGAGAGGATGTGCAGCTCGTAGATGGAAGCATTTTACACCATTTGGATGCCGGAGGGACGTATACTCACCTCGAGGTGGAACAAAACCAATCACAAGAGGTAACAGCACTGATGAACTCTCTCTGTGGCAAGTATCAGCACAAACTTCGACAGATATGGTCATCGAAACTGTCGGGGAAGAACAAAGTTGCTGCAACAAATATGCTTGCNCACCATGCAATTTAAATAACTATTTTAGTAATTGTCCCAAAATGAAAACTATCGCGGGATAAAATGAATTCAAACTTCCTCACCAACCGATGTGACACACATGATGAAGAAAGGTTGTATTTGAATTGGTACTGGCGTCTGGTCCTGATAAAGTGCCCGTCATCGTACTTGAAAAGTGCGCCAATGAACTCGCACCAGTAAGTATTCCTTCTTGTTGCAAGATTGCTCGCGTTCAGCCTATTTCCAAAAAGGTCAAGAAAAATCTTCCAAATAACTATAGACCAGTCGCTTTGTTTTCAATGATATCAAAAATCATTGCACCGGCAGCAAGAGGTTGAATATTTTAATGAGGGTCTAGAAGTAATTTCGAATTGGGGTGACAGTAACCAGGTTCAATTCAATGCCAAGTGACTTGGCACATTTGATTCCACCAAGAGCGGTACATATCAGAAATACGCGACGGAATGTGGCTACTCGTCGTTATGAGGTTCATGCACATTGTAATAGAACTTCACACCACACAATTCGATTTGGTATATTGGGAGTTATTGAAAAATATTGGGAAGTACCT